TCAAAACCGGCATGGAAAATACGATGACAGATTCAGATTGCTTGTGAAAAAGTGCCTTGAGAATGTCCTAGTCAGAAACGTCTAGGTCTTTTTGTTGTCGTATGAAAAAAATAAAAACGAAAATTACAAATTTTCGTTCTTTCAAATAATTCAAAAACTTTAAACGACACATCGACTTTTCTTGCAGATAAATGTTCAGCATAAAAATGCACAACTTTGCCCTAATTTAACCGACCTCGTCTCTAATAATAACAGAGATTCCCATGATGGAGCTCGAAAAACAGACACCCTGTATAAATTTCATCCTATTTATTGGGTTTCTTCACCATCTGGAAGATATTGAGAGTAAATGGTTCACCCACATTGACCTTACAGATGAAATAATCAATCTTACTTGCCAATACTTCTAGCTTGGTAAAGATGTAACAGGGTGTTCCTTTTATACGGGTACAAAATTGATTGGCGAGAAACATGTTTTGGGAAATATTCAAATATGTTGATAGGATCTTTTTGAAAAGAGAAGTTCAGTCAGATAAAAACTTCTGTCCTCCCAATAATGACAATTTTATGTTAGTTACACTAGGAATGAGAAGAATCTGAGTGAATTTCAATAAAAGAGGTTAGAATTACCCATTTTCTATTTATTCTTCAACGTGAGATTTTCATCATTGGAACCTTGAAGAATGGGAAGAAGAAATATTATTTCTCTCAACCTTCAACTGAACTCTATTGAAATAAGCCAAGTGATTTTATGCTCATTCTCCAAAAACACCCTGTCGAAATCTTTACTACTCACTGACGATAATTTTGGCATCGATGTGAACAGGATGTACCGCAAAATTTTCGAAGTACAACTATAAAAAAATATATGTAAAATCTAGTTTGGACAATCTTCCATTACTCTTCTGACAACTGGAAGGAGATAAATTTACCATTTGAAATAAATCCACTCAAACTTGATTTCATGAAAAAAAACTTTGTCAATAACACTTTTTTTTTTTCATCTAAAATTATGTAAGAGTTGTACGAATGTCCAGAGAAAATTTGCATAACTTTTGTCGAGCAATCCAGGAACAAATAAGACGGACCTCTCCAAAAAACATGCACTATTATAAACAAAACTTATATCTAGAATATACAGGGTTAATCAAATTGACGGCTATCCAATTGGAATCTTGATTGCGTTGTTTTGTTGTAGAAAATTCACGATAGCTTTTTTCGTCGAAAAAAATTAATGTTCTCGTTCTTTTGTTAACACTGTTTCGGTCATTTAAAAAACAACAAGAGCTAAGCAATTTTCCAAGATTGAAGAATAACACAACAACTTAGCAGAAGAAAATGAGCAAAAGTCAGATAATATATACCATCAAACTATGTTCTGTTAATGAGGTTGTCTAATATTGAATCATAACTGTTATCATAATTGGGGATTATGGAGCTCATTTTTGGAAAAAAACATACATAATGAGTTATTTATGCATCGTTCATAACGATTCCGACTACTTCCTTTTCGTAATTTCGAATATTCCATTATCTCTAATATCCTTCAAGTCTCAATCCAGGTTATTTTTCTCATTATCAAGTAGAAATTATCATAATTATCATTATTATTATATTTTTGCTGCTCGTGCGATGGTTCAGTAGCTAAACACATTGTATATTTTCACCCTGTAAGTCCATAACTTTGTACAAATATCAAATGAAGGAAATACAATTGATTAAACAGTCCACTGAAATCCAATAAAAATACAAATAGAATCAAACATGCGCTAATCAAGGGTCTTATAAAACTTTTTCCGTCGACCTCCTATTAACGACTAAGTTTAATGTAAATGAAATCATTCATTAATGACCCCTATTAATGAACGATTCGTCTATTAATGCATGATTGTTTTATAGGCAACCAAACTTACGGAATCTGCATTTAAATCGAAAATATGGATTTCATCGAAGATTTTCCGTTAACGGGTTCGCCTTTCCAAGTTTCTGACACGATTTTAATCCCTGTTTTCTAACACAAGGAATTTATTTCCTATGTTGATCATTTCGACAAATGTCAAATGTCACTAATGTCAGTAACAAGGCTACTGGGTGATTCTTAGCATTTTCCGGATGAATGATGAATTCGCGAACCAAGTTTTCTTCATAGCAGGAGAAATGAGAAATACCGGGTGACACAGGTTATCGGGCCACCCCTGTAACTTCTGCATTCGTTAACGGATATTTCTGAAATTTTGTACAGTTATATAAGCAACTATTTCGGATTTGATCACAGTAAAATCCAATATGGCGGACTTCCGGTTTTTCTGGAAATGCCAGCAACTTTGTTTTTTCAAATGAAACACCCTGTATATTTTTACATATTCAAGTTCAACAGGTCAAAACAAATGCAATCTTGATGTCAAATGTCATTTATTCCACAGCCTACCTAGTTGAAAAATTATTCTAACTGCAAGAAAATTCATAAACTAGTTGTTGATTTTTGAATGTCTTCAGTTTGTTACTGCACCAAAAAACAAAAATGATATGTCATTTTGTTCCTTAATGTATGTTCTAGAGAGACGGGTAGGTGGCCCATAGGGGTTCCATTTGAAAAAAAATAATTTTTGATCAAAAAGTGATGTGGCTGAATTGATTCCTGGATAAGTGACACAAAAAATAATTTTTCAGAAAAAAGTATGTTCTTCTGTTATGTGTGACTCATTGTGAATAGTCTTGACCACATCTCATTTATCCACGAGGTAAAATGAAAAAACAATTTTAATATAAATTTTTTAGAAAAAATGACATTTGAAATAAAGATTGCACTTGTTTCGACCTGTTGAACTTGAATATGTAAAAATATACACGGTGTTTCATTTGAAAAAACAAAGTTTTTTTAAAAACAAAGTTGCTGGCATTTCCAGAAATACCGGAAGTCCGCCATATTGGATTGTAATGTGATCAAATCCGAAATAATTGCTTATATAACTGTACCGAATTTCAGAAAAATCCGTTGACGAATGCAGAAGTTACAGGGGTGGCCCGATACCCTGTGTCACCCGATATAGTCGACGGAAAAATTTTGTAACCAACTCGTATATTAAAAGGCGATTAATAATCTCGAACATTAACGCGCTCGCTTCGCTCGCCAAGGAGGAAAAAATGTCCAAGAAATTTGTTTAGTTGCTATGGTAACGATACGATATACAGGCTTTAAATTGATTGAAAATGTTTGGTGTGAAATTTTCTAGCAAATTGTTCCACAAAAGACCATTTTCCTCAAGTTTTTTTTTTCTGTGGAACCCAGATATTTGTTGATTTGAAAGTTTTTGCAATACTCCTTCTTTTTATTGGAGTAAGTTAATGTAGGCACAGAATTACCTCACGACTATTAATCCTCGCAAAGTCATCAGTTATTATTTTTTTTTTCGAAAATTCCCAAAACGAAAAAGCTATCGTGGATTTTCTTTCACTATATGAATCAGCACAAAATTCCGAAACTTTGCCTCAATTCCACCTGCTTCATTAATTCTCAAAATCCAATTGACGAACGTCGAATTTGCAAAACCCTAGCAATAAAGCTTCCAAAAATAAAAATATATAAGTACTGGATGGTTCCTAAATACGAGTGGAAAGAGCATAGGGAGAATTCCTTATATGAAGAACAAGAAAAAACAAAATAACACTCAGTTGATTTTTCAAAATTTCAATTGGTTTTCAATTATACAAAATTCGTATTTCCATAGTTGAAATATATTTTGAAAAATTCTTGGACAGGTATATTATTTTTGCAAATAATATTTTCTTTGTGAAAATGTTCAACCACCTGTCAACCTTTTCAAAATTTTTGAATAGTGTTACACCTTATTAGACAGGTACCTCAAATCTCTATACAGAGGGTCATATTTTGCTTCATTTTCGAGATACAGGGTATTAATATTTCCATGACAAATCATTTTTTTATTCATTACTCAAATATCTTTTAATCAATTCAAATGGAACTGGGTAGTATAAAAATTCGATTTGACTCGAAATTTTAATGTAGATGCTCTAAAGACACCCAGTGAGATTACCTACTCAATAACCTCAATAATAATGATTTCAAAACTTTGCAAATTTTTACAGGGGGGTTATAAATAAAAAAATTCCAATACCCCCAACTTCAATATCCTATAGCTTAAAATCGAAACAAGCAACATGTGTCCTATGTATATATGACCATTATTTCTCAAAATATCACAAGGAATCACCTCCTGAAGTTTGTCGCACTTTTTAACTCACCCTGTACACAATGGTCTATTTTTTCAAATTCTGCTGAGCCATATCCTCAAGAGACCCTTCGGAAGATTTAAAATTCATTTTTTTTTCAAATATTGGCAACGGTAACATTTTTTGAAATATATTCCTTTCATGGAGACAAGGATTTTACACACCGTATCTAATAATTAACAAACTTTTTGGGCTCATAACTCTCTCTTATGCCACCTATTTTTTCTGTGATCTTATTAATTTTTTTGAAAAGAAAGTGAAATTGAAAAGAAATTCATCAAAGTTGAAAAAAATTACTGTCCTATAGGAACTCCCCTGAAATTACTGAGTAAACGCTGAGAGATTCGAAAGACCTCCAACAAACTCCAAGAATTTCATTCAAATCTACAACTAACTTCCTAACTTTTCAACAGAAATCCGCTTGCTTTTCGGACGGCAACATTTTCCCCCTCATTTTTATCGAAGGAATCTACCCAACGAAATTTAAACACAAGTGACCTATTCACTTTTTGATCGTTCTATCCTGCAGTTGTCTCTCTCGCACTCGGTGCCTAAAACCAAGCAATAACAGATCGGCATTCAGAGCGTTTCACCAATGACCAAATGTCTTTGAATCCGGCTCGAAGGACCAATTTTTGGTCTTTTAAATATCTTTTTTAGGTAACATTTCATAAATTTGTAAAAAAAATGTGTAAAACACTACCCTAGCATTCAGGAAACCCCCACAGACAACAACAAAAAACAACAACTCAGTCGGAATCGTGCGGCAAATCCACATCGAAATCGCTATCCAAATCGGACGTCACGTGGTACATGGGGCCCTCCCCGTCATCTCCATCGGAATCTACATCCTGCAACTCTTTAGGCAACTGCAGGAACCTCTTCGGTTCGTCATCAGCCACGGCCATGTTGGCCAGGTCGTAGTGGATGTTCCTGGCGCGCTGTTTGGCCAGGATCAGCCGCGGCCAGTCGATCGGCTTCGTTTTGACCAGGGTGATTCTGATGTCTGGGCCAGGAGAGGTGTGCTGCATGGATTGCACGGTGTCGTAGAACATGAGTTTCAGGCTGTACGTTTTTTCGTCTTTGTCGGTTCTGCCAGGAAAGCGAAAAAATATCGATTATTCAGCAATTCTCGATTTCAGTAGCACGAGTTTGTTCCACAGCATCGACGTCAAATCTGATAAACTGCGCCACATTTGAAGTGAGACAAGCAAAAACTTTTATCATTATCGATCGTCATAACTTTGGAGTGGATCAACCAATTTTCAATTCCTTTCAAGATTCTGATAGCTCATCCCATTGGGTACAACGTCAGTATTTTTTTGTTATTCCACTTTTTCGACATGAGGACCTACTGGGTGATATCTGAAAACGTGATAATTTCCGAAAAGTTTGGGATCACCCCGTTTCACTGGGAATTTTTTTTAATGTTTTATTGAGGGCGATATAATGACGAACAATGAGTTTTCTCGATATGGTTTTGAATTCAATAGGTTTCATACAGGATGTTTGGATGTATGGAATTTTTCACAACATATTGCATTCTGATATGTTCAACCACCATAAACTCAACTTCAACAGAATTTTACATTGGCATATCTTCAACGCCATTACTACACAATATGTGGTACATTTTCGAAGATAGGAGATGTAGAAATAAATTGAAATATTACGAAAAAAATGCCGTTAATAATAATTATTAACACAATATTTCTAATGAGAAAATGATAAGTATATAAAATTGACATGGGGCGGTATCATGATGAATCGTTGCCCCACGTTGGTTATCTTGAGAGAGAGTATGAATACTCTTTGGTATCAATAAGACATTCATTGTGTTAGGGAAGTTGTCGTTGCAGTTGCCCAAAACTTTTGGTGATAATTTCATATTGGTTGATGATAATGATAATGAACTACCACATCGTGCGAGAATTGTCACTGGAGTTTGAGGACAGCATAATATTGCCTACTTTTTCTCTGTCACACGTCATATTGATAACCTGGAAATTTCGAACGAGAATATCGTTCGAAATAACTCTCAAACCCAGTATTGTTGAATTCGTTATGAATTGAAAGATGGGGTCGTTTCTGGTCAAACCGGGAAGTGATGGGAGAGTATGGAATTTTGAAAAATTGACCAATTCTCGAATTCTACACCCCTGCCAAATTCGAATCTCATACCTCTGGAAATCTGGAAACCATGGTTTGTCTGAAAAATTCGATGATACCCGGTATGTTTGAAAATGTGAAACACATTGTATAGTGATAGCCTTGAGCATGATAAGCTAATCAAAAGTTCTGTAGAAGTTGAGTTTATGTTGGTTGAACATCTGAATGCAATTAATATATTGTGAAAATTTCCATATATCAAAACTTCCTGTATGGATCTTCCTGGATCGAGAAGCATTTCGAGAAAACTCATTATGCTTCATCCTATCAACCTCAATGAAACATAATAAAAATCCCTGCCAAACGGAGCGATCTCAAATTTGCCGAAAATTGCAATATAATGTGAAAAATTCCATACATCGAAACATCTTGTATGAATCCTCTTGAATCCAAAACCATTTCGGGAAAACTCATTGTCCTTCATTTTATCGCCCTGGATAAGACATAAAAAAAAACCGGTGAAACGGGGTGATCCCAAACTTTTCGAAAATTATCACATTTTCAGATATCACCCTGTAGGTCTTCATGTCGAGAAGGTGGAAAAACAAAAAATAACTGACGTATTACTCAATGGAATGAGCTATCAGAATCTTGAAAGAAATTGAGAATTGGTTGATCCAATCCAAAGTTATGACGGTTTGAAAATGATAGAAGTTTTTGCTTGTCTCACTTCAACTGTGGGACAGTTTAGTTATTTATATCATGAAAATCATCCATATCTCAAAGTGGTCCAAAGTAATTTCTAAAGAAAAAAGCAGCAACACGAAGTCGGTCGACCACAGTTTATATAAAAATCTTCAGTCAAAAGTAACCGGTTTCGGCCCTACGGCCATCATCAAACAATGGTACCAAACAATATGAGACTCAATATGTAAAACAAATCATGGTACTAAACGATTTTGGTCAACGGGTTGGAAGAATCTGGAGCATTTGTAGATCTTTTTTTTTTAATTTACTCACTTTGAGTAAATTTGTGCGTGGTTATTTTAACAACTGTGATTCGGGTGGTTAATATGAAGGTCAGTGGTTATTTGAATCACTTACAGATTTTCTGATTCTCTGAAGCATAAATTGGTAATGAATTAACAACTTTTCATGTTTTTTTCCACTTTTTGTAGTAGCAGATATCCACCAGCTTATTCTAGTGATTTGTGAAGTGGCTAAGGTTTTTAATAAAGAAATGCGGCACTATTTCAAGGAAATGTTGTTCATCTGTTAATGCTAGATATATCAAAAGTGGTAATTCTACAAGAAAGTTTTAAATACCTACCTGATTATTTGTGAAAACAAAAAAAATACCTATTTCACTGGATGGATAGCATCAAACAATAGAATTTTAAGGGATCAACAAGTCCATCCTTAAATTTCGGAAAAAACTATCACATACCAAAAGTATTGGTTTTAGAAACTTTGATATCATTAATAGAACCACAGATAGAAGACGTTGGTGGGCAACTTTTATTCTACTACATGTAGAAATAAATATCAGTTGAGTTTTTGTAATATATCAGTATAGAGAGCACTTAGAGAATATTTATAACTAATGCCTAGTATTTCAGATACTTGTTGCTTTACATTTACTTGCACGAGGATCCTATCAGGGGGACTAATTCTAATGTAAATAGCAATGTCTCAACCAAGTGCTTCAAGTGTTTGTAGAGTATATCAATTAATTAGGTTAATTTGACGTTGAAAAGGAAGAAATATAGCAATAATGGGGAAGTTTCCTGTATTGAGGTTTTCATGTCACTGTGAAGTTTGTGGAAAATTAATATATACGTATTTTTTCTTTTTTCGTAAGATCAAATTTCACTTCCGAAAAAAATAAATAAAAGAGGGATTTTGCTTCTCCACCATTCCTGTGACTCAATTTCTGAAAATCCACATTCACACAGAGTTAAAATACGATTCCCTGTGCCAGTACGACGTTGCCGACATCATCAATATGTCTAGATTTTCGGAAATTGTTCTTTGAATGCATAATAACTATATCATAACAGCAATGGGATACAATAGGTTCTTCAATCCTATATACTTTGTCAAGTATTATCAATAATACCCATAATCATAAGTTGATTACTAATAAAAATAAATTATGATATTTTGCGATTGTATCTATAATTTTTCACTATCGTTATATTACAATATGTTATTCATAACTTGTCAGTCATTTTTTTGCTAACGAATTCGTTCATCAACAAAACAGATCTATTTTCTAGGACAGTTGCAGATTATATCTTGCAACAGCGCCTACTAATACTTCCAGTCCGTCCACACCACTTAAAATACTGACAGGCACAACAAGAGGAAGGAGCCATGGGTGTCGGCTTCATTCTGTTCTGACCGATGGCAGTAAATTATGAAGCATAGTATCATTGAATGTAGCCGATAGTGATGCATTGATTCAATGATATTTCTGGTTAGGATCGAGCTCTATTCGAGATATTTCGATGAATGAATAACAAAATCATAACCTGTCAGAATGAAGCCAACTACCTTCTGCATTCCTGCTCCGAATGCATCTGTGGTTATGTATATTTTTGTTTACTAGTTTAACTTCTTCTTCTATTTTTTTCATCTGTTTTTCATTCGTTAGCTATTTGTTAGCTATTCGCTAGCTGTATTTACCGTCAGTTATTTTCAGACTAGATTCAGAATGTACGTCACAGTTTGCCGCTCCAAAAATTAGAAATTTGAAAATGAAAACGACTTGGATTTGTATTGGTCGCCATCGTACAGCGTGGACATGAAACTAGAGAGTTCCGAACTCATTTCATTAAAATTCATCTGAAGGAAACTTACCCATTAAATAAATAGTAGATGAATGACTAACTTCACAGCTTTATTTATACCAGTTAGTGGCAATGTGAGAAAAACTAACCACATTGATAAATGTTGTTTTTAAAGATTACCAAATATGAATAGTAGAAAATAATGGGTGGTTAAAAAAGTTAGAAGTCGTTCAATCTCTGTAAGAGAATAACATGCAAGAGCCCAAAAGAACCTACTGGAAACTCACCTGAAATTGAGGATTCGTCCTTTGGTCAATGTCAGTTTGTAATCTTCAACGTCCGTCAGTCTTATGCTTATTCTAATGGTGCTTTCTGTTTGCGACCAATAAATTTCAGGGGTGTAAAAATCGCCCGCTGGGGCTGCAGTTATCGATGGTAGCTCGCGATTTTGCATCGTTGATTGTTCCTTATTACTGAAGTTCAACATCTGAAAAACACAGATTCCCAATCAATTGATACATGTAATGAAGTGATAAGATTTCCAGAAAATTTTCAAACACACGACATATATTGCTAACACAGTAGCTTCGTCAGTTGATATACTGGTACAACGAACTAAACTAACCTTGGCTGGCTTAACTTTTATACAGGGTGTTGCTAAATTCGACCGACAACGCTTGACAGGTGATAGCCCTCGTGATTTCATAATCACTGAGATAGGGACATACGGTCTTCGAGTGTTTAGTTCTCGAGATACAAGGCGTTGATGGTTTCATCTTTCAATGGTTATTTTTTTGACCAGAAAGACATTCCGAGAATGTTATCTAGAGGTGCGCTACAGAAGGTTGGGATAACTTTTCCTCCCATATTTTCTACGCCACTGATGAAATTTCGATTATTTCCAATTTTTAGAATTGATTGTTCAATTATGTTGAAACACTGCATTATCTTCAACTGAGCAAAAATGAACAGTTATCGAGATATATGACCCAAAATAGAAGTTTGCATAGTAATTTCTCATCTTCAGTAGTAGAAGATTACACAAATTTTTGTTTTCTCTTTATGCGTGGAATAACTATTTCTATTCAGCTACAGAATGAGATCTGAATAGTATCTAATCTACTCAACACCAGAAAAATATGTTGCAATCTTCTATTTTGGGTCGAATATCTCGAAAACTGTTCATTTCAGCTCAGTTGAAGGTGATGCATTTTTTTGAACAAAATTGAACAATGAATTCCAGGAATTGGAAATAATTGAAATTTAATCAGTGGCGTAGAAAATATGGGAGGAAAAGTTGCCTCACCCACCTGGGCACCACTGGATAAAATGTCCGGAATGGCCTCCTGATCAAGAAATGTATGCATTATATTCAATTTTTCTTGAGATATTGCAGAACAACTATTTTTATTTCTTAACTCTTCAACGCCCTGTATCTCGAGAACTGAGCACTTGAAGACCGTATGTCCTTATCTCAGTGATTATGAAATCACGAGGGCTATCACCTGTCAAGCGTTGTCGTCGCATTTCGCAACACCCTGTATATCCCACTTTCCCCCAACCTGAAGGATCAGTTACCTGTGGACAGGTTCGATAAACCTTCATTTTCGGAAATTAGGCACAATATCTACATTTAAATACAGTGTACCGGATCAACTTGAAAGGGTTGATAGCAAATATATATTATGTATAGAAATTTAACTGGTGCGCTTGTTCCCTATTGAAGGTCGTTTGCAAGTTTCTCGATGGCGCCTACTCTGATAAACCATTGATAAAAATACTTGACTTGGTAAATCTCGCTAAGCTCATCCGTATTTACAGGAAACATATTACCGATCGATAAATATTTGGATACGTATATGATTTGGATCAGAGCAGTGAACTAATTCCTGATCAAAGGATCGAAACGTCAATATGTTAAAAATATTCTTGAGCTGAGAAAATGGTTATTTCTGAGATTGGGGTCAAGTGTTCGTTAGGGACGTGTTCCGTAGTTTCTAAATTTTGTGTATAGTACCTAATCCACCATGGAAAAAAGAAAATCTCTGTTCTACAACAGTATTATTTCAGTGATTTGAAATATTAGCGTGAACTGGTGTGAATAAATTCTAAGGTGAGTACCAGTTACCATATCTGCCTATTATGATTTTCGATATTGGTCTATTTCAATAGTTGATACATTCTTTGTTCTGGTTCTTCAAAGAGGAAATTCATCAGATTTCATGCTTTAAATAGGTTTATGTCATGAAAGAAGTGAAGCTAATTAAAATCGGCTACAAAAAAGATTTCTTGCTTCTATTTCAAATAGAAATTTGAATGAAAATGTTGAGCACAGTATTTATTCGACCACAGAACAATGATGGAAATAGATTCATCCCTCAAAGAACCAAGGTTTTGAACGATTTTCCAATTATGGCGCCTCTATCGCAAATACCTGAACCCCACGTCCAAAACTCGCTTGCAATTGTTCCATATCGAGAGTTAGTCTGACGAAACAATTGAAGAGTGAGCCCACCAGTTGAATTTCTATACATCACTACTAACAAAACAAATTCAACACTGGTGAACTTTTACATTGAGGTCTAATTGATCGTTAAGTCAAATGTCAGAATTTTTAAGTTTGTTGATTTCTAATGATTCCAAATGATTGAGTCTCATTCCTTTATTCTCTACGTGTAGAATGTCGAAATTATCATGAAAACTATGGTTTCCTTCCAATTTCCAATATATGGTTGGCATATGTTGGATTTGTTCTCTTTTAAAAAAAATCATCTTATGTTCATAAATACGTACGACCTACGTACGACCTGTCTGACCGATATATACCTTAGGACAAGATCGACAGTTGAGTCTGTATACCCCTTGATTCTTTGAATTTAGAAATTTTGTCTTAATCATTTTTTATATCAAAAAATCACATACTGTTAGCAAAACATGTCCTGTGTTTGAGAATTTTGTGAAAATCTTCGTTTGTGAAGTTTTCACATTTGCCATGGATTTCCATCAAGTAACGGTCAATTCAAAACAATTGATACATGATAGGAATGTACTTTTTGATACAAATTGACTATAAGGTTAGGTTCGAAAGTCCCAGTTGCCCCAAATAAATCATAGTTTCATTCAAGTGGAGAGAATTGTGATTTTAGTTATTGCCTTTTTAGTTGAAAAATATCGAGGAGTTTGAAGAATAAGTATATCTGCCGATGGCTGATTCTTAGTACGTAGTTTGAAAGTACTATCTTACAAGCACTGAAATTATTTCAATGTTTTTTCTGTTAGGTCATGTTAAAAGTAATTTTCTATAAGTCATTATATTCTTCTGTATCTTTATGTGAAATATGAACAGATGAATACGAACAGAAATATAGCTCAACGATAACAATGTTGAAAAAGGGAATGTTATTACTTACTGCTTTGAAAAAATCTGTTGGATCTTCATCATCGTCTAGAAATAGTTCTAATTCATCTGGATTGTAAAAATGTTGATCTGCAAATCAAAGAATAAATACATCATTTGCAGGAACCAAAAGAACGTGCTTTGAGATTTTTATATCGGACTAAATTCAGAATACCTTCATTCAAAAACAGTAGATTTGATATAATCTTTTATGAATTAACCAGGTGATTTTAAAATACGTCAATATATTGAACACATCAAATATAATATATTTAATCGACTTCAAGGACAGTTACAATAATGAGTGATCAAGATTTCATAAAATTTAAATGAGTTCTGTGTTCGACCAACTCTTTAAATCTCCCCTGTACAGAGGTGTTTTATTCGTCTCCCATGGAACTCCAGATGATGAAATGAAGTTTGTTTTACAATGTTTAATGTTCACGGAATTAAGGAAGAAAATCCGCACAGGTGATGTCAAATATGATATTGTGTGTTACTCCAATACTATTTCAATGCTGCCATATTGAGCCTTTTATTATTTAAATAACCAAGAACGCGAAAATTCGGTCTAACCTGAAATTAAACGTTTAACCCGAAGTTTAAAATCTAACTGAACGATTTTCGTATAATTGCCGTTTATTTATTTTATTAATTTGATTTTTATCACTTTATTTATTTAGTTAGTTAGTTAGTTATACAGGCTGATTTTAAAATGAGTGCATATATTCAAGACATATATATGAGAGAGTCTAACAAAAATTACTAAAATATTTGATTTTTCCTAAGTCTTCACATTAACGAGAAATTTCATTTTGAAAATTGAATATAAAATGCTTCGAAATTCGAGTACGCCACTGGGAAGCAAGTGAAATTTGCGGAATCCCAGGGATCCCCAATTCGTCATTCACTAACGTCAAAACATGACAGTGATGCCAGATTGTTTCAGAGACGAATATCCTGATAAAAATTTGTCACAGAATCAATATGAATTGGAATAGGTTATGGAAACTAATAGAGGTGAATGTAATATGTACAGGAGCCTTATTTTTTTAAATTTACTGAGAGAACTGTGGGGTGATTATCTCCATGGATCACGAGAGACGGAGAGAAACACGAGGGGAATGATAGAACGTCCCCCTTCCTTCAATTCGAAAATAAGGCCCCAGCGGGTAGATACAAAATTAGCAGACAATAAATAGTTACACAACATACACAAAGTTGAAAATCGACTCACCTAGTAGATTTTCTCATAGGTACCTGCTCCAACAGCAAAACTCCCGAGAGCAAACCAATACTGATATCGAGTCCATTCCAGACTAATATCGTCCTGTGTTCTTGTTGGTTCATATTCGCACTTAAACCATCGAAAACGACTCGACGACGACATATCCTTCCTGGCAATCTCACATTGAAAATCACGATCACGACCATATCACGATTATCACGACACAAGACACAACATCCAATTATTTTATTTTTTATTTTACGTTTACAATTATTTTACGAACCAGCAACCACATGAACAAAACTATTATCATATGATCTGTCAACATCATTTCTCAGAACAGTAGTATCTGTGACCATAGATTTCCTCTTTGCTGTGACCTTTGACAGTACTAACTAGGATTGTTCGCGTTCAGAAAATAAACAGTCCGAAACCGTCAGAAGCATGCACAAGTCCACAGAACCCAAAAAAATCATACAGTTCTGTGAAACTGCGCATGCTTCTGACCGTTTCGGACGCAAGAATTCAGATGACCATGAATTACTAATAGGTGATTTCTACGGACCAATCAGAAAAAGCAAAGTAGCGCCTGCGTGGTTGCGATTCATCCTGATTGGACACAGCTGATTGGATTTGTGAGATTATTGTATAGTGAGGAAGTATCCTTTCATTGAATTAAACTAATAGATGTTTTTTCCAAATTAGTTTTTTATGAAAATGGTAGTTTCATTTAAAGATATAATCCTTCCTCACTAATACATTAATCTCAATCACCTGTGCCCAATCAGGATGAATCGCAAACACGCAGGCACTACTTTGCTGTTTCTGA